TCCAGAGTCATCCTGCATAAAATTTTCCTTAATGATTGAGAGACAAATCCATCCCTAGTGAAACAAGACTAGTCAACTAAGGAGGAAATATAAATTTGGTGGAATAATAAATTATGAAGTTGGAGCAGCCCAAATTTTTTGGGCTGGACTTCTGCAAGCAAGATGAATTTTAAGTAATGAATGGTGGTATTGATGCACCAGAAACTATATCCCAAGGGTGGTACATGAAATATTGGCTACCACTGTGGGAAACAACTGGAAACAGGATTTAGTCTGATGACGCTAAGGAGAATTAATATTATCTTTGAATAATTTAGTAGGGAAGTTTGAGTTGTAGATAATAATACTGACTATATGGCAATAGTGTATTACACTGTTGTGGGTGCTGGAAGTTTGGGAAAGAATAAGAAAAATATAAGCACTGCTTGTAGACTGGAAAATATGCATTATTTCCTTTATCGAAGTGAGATAGCTGGATTACATTGTGTAATTACCTTCACAACAACAACAAAAAAAAGTGTCTTAGCTCAGATGAATATATTGCAAGAATCAGTGGGTGGAAATGTAAGTCAAGAAATTTTAAGTAATGAGGCTTGGAACTGTAGCAGTAAGTGTGATGAACTGCTGAAAGAAGCTGCTCAAGAAAGTGCTAGTGTACCTATCAAAACTGGATGTATTTCTGGGGAATGCATGTTAGCCAAACAGAAATTCCTGAGCTTGGTATACGGAGAATGATGCAATGTTATAGTCTGTGACACAGAAGAGGTTAGACAGGATTAGCGAATGGTCCTCTCTGGCCTCAAAAGCTGTAAATCAAGGAAAATGTTTTAAACATTTTAGGCCAAATGCTACTTATTTCATACAGCTAAAACATCCACCAATTTCATGGAAGCGTTGAGACAAACAGTATCAGAACAGAAAGCAGCACAGAGTCAGAAAGAATAAAGCTTATTAAATGTACCTTTCACATTAGTATAAACATTGCACATTCTGTATGTTGCAGATTTGAGAACCAACGCTTTAGGCTGCACTCAGTGTGGCACACAGCAAACTGAGCAATATGCACAGTAAATGTATTGAGAGACAGACTGGATGGGAAGATGGGACAGTGGATACAGGGTCTACTGAATATGCCATTTGCTACTGTTTTGGGTACTCACGTTGAGAAAAATAACTTTAATTGTTTTGGCGGGGAGCACTGCTGTGTAGACTGAAATGGGAGAAAGAATGTAAACAAAGGGTAACGATCACTTGCTGTGTTATCGTAGCTTGTAGAAATGTCTTGTGGGTCATGGCAGGGACTTTTGACAGACATCATTCTGTTTAATATCTCCATTGGTAATCTCAAAGTAGAGGTAAACAGCACAATAGTGAAATGTGCTGATGATACTAAAGCAGGAAGGAATGTAAACAGAAGACAGCAGATAAATGATATCAAAGCACCGCTGGATATTAGAAAGCTGCGTGCAAAAGAAAACAGCTCCCAAACAACTCATGAAAAGAAAGAAAGAGGAGGGGAAGATAGGAAAAGGAGGAGAAAAGAAAGGAAAAAGGGGAAGGAAACGGGAAGGAACAGGAAGGGGAAAGAAAAAGAGGAGGAAAAGAAGGAAGCTGGAGTATATTTATCCTAGCTATCACTATTGCTGATAGGTTTCAGGGCACAGCGGACAGCAGATCAGATGGAAATGATACATGAAGTTGTAGTATTGTAAAAGCCATGCACATTCAGGCATATGTCATGAAGTAGAGAGGTAATAGTTCACTTGTAAAGCTCTGTGTTATTAGTTCTAGTCTGTGTTCAATATTGCCAGCCACTGACTGACTGGAAGGACTTGGAAGAAATCCCACAGCAATTCAAAGGGTGGAAAAACCACTTTGGAGGAAAGACTGAAGCAGAAACCCAGCATGCCATTAAGTATAGACTTAACTAAGTACATGAGCTGTACTGGTGACTTTCAACTCCCTTTATAGCCCTGCTAGGTGACTTTAACAAAGGAACCACATATCAGCTTAAACGGGGCACGTACTTAAGCACTTCAATAGACTGCAACAACAGCTTGGACAGACTTGTCAGGAAAGGTGACATGCCCCTGACACTGAAAGGCACATTATTGTCTGCATAGAAATCAGCAGGAAGGCATGTATTTCTATAAAGCTGGGCTGTTTCTTACCCCTGGAACAAAGGTCTGCAAAGGAGGTTTAAACCAGCCGGCATTGTTTAGCTGGAAGGGATGAAGTCAGCAAAATGAAGCCTCTTGGGTGTGAATTGTTTAAAGGTGAGAACGGGAAGATTGTCAGATATTCCTCTAGGGGGAATTCAGACTGCTGGGGGTTCTAGGATAGATTTGAATAAAGCAGCAGAGAATGCCTATGAAGAATAGCATTATGTCTTTATGTTGGAATGCTGGGAGTGCTTCCTGATTCCAAGAATTTCTGATCATATGAAGTTGCTACAAATACTCCACAATTCAAGGTGGGAAGAATGTCTGCTTTATGACCTCTGAAATCATCTCTGTGACTGTTTATAAAAGAATTCCTGTCAGACTGAATTCCTGATGCTGATTTTCAAACCAACGAAAATTAATCTTTAAAGAATAGAGCTGTGAAATGTCCAATCGCAAATATGCTGGGAATATATCTTCTGTGTAACCTTTTATTGTTCTTGTAACGGAGAATTATCTGGAGTAGAGAGCAGCCTGTTCTCAAAGAATGGCATTTTGGCGGAATTAGTACTCAGCTCTTACTGAAAGCCAAAAGAAGGTGAATACCCAGCCACTTAAACTTTTGTGACAAACTGAATTGTTATTTATTTACTTTTTTACTTTTTCCTCAGAAACAGAAGAAAAAACTCCCTTCTGAAAAATAAGTGATACTTCGGTGTTTCACTCAAATAACGATTTTAGAATTCCAATGTAGTTAATATCTGATGGTTTCATAATTAGAATTAGTAATTAATTTTGTGTAAAAAAACACCTAATATTTAGTGTAAGAAATTTAATAGTGAAAAGAAGTGTTGGCTATGGCAGGGATTTAGTCTTGGAAAGTTTGGAGACGCTCTTCTGGGCTTGACTAGTCAGTATCCACAAGAATTTAATAAAATCCCTACATAGGTTAGGAAAAAAAGCAAATGGGAAAGAGTAAGTGAATGATGATTAGAGTAGAACTTCCCTTTACAAATGTTGATTGACCACATGCTTCAAAGCTGACTTTGTCTTCACTGGATGGAAGTCAGGAAATGGGGTTAAATAATTTACATGAGTGAATATCTACATTTTCTCCTTTTGCTTCTTTCTTCGTGCCTGTTACTGTCCAGTTTTATATTGCGCCGCTTCATTCATCCCTTATTTATTTTTCTGTCTGGATAGGATGCCTCTGTAAGATGGTTCAAGTAATTAACTTGCAACCTATTATTCTTCTCACACAGTAATTTAGCTCTAACGTTCAGCACTCGGGCCCTTTAGAATGCAGAGTTGCTGGAGCAATGTTAAGATTTTTATGTGTAGTACAGTACAAAAGCTACCAAAAGAGGGCAACATATGAGCCAACAATGAGAAATGTATCCTGAGGAGTTTACAGTTCTGTATCTGTGACACCCTTCCCCCTTTCCTTTTTAGATAGAGCAAGAAATTTTAGCAGAGCTGGTCAGGAAACAGTATTTCCATTATGTGGGAAAAGAAGTAAAGGTGCTGAAGTTTTCACAGAATGAAAATTCAGAAAAAAAAATTATTTGGTATGATGGAAGTGTTCCAAAAAAATCAAATAGTTCACACATCAGAAAGTCTGGAAGTTATAATGCCATTAAAATATTTAATTTAATAGGGAAAGAGGTTAAAGTGTATGTTTATGTTAAATATATGCTATGAAGTTCAAAACAAACTGAAATGAAGCAAGGGATACTAAAATGTTTTTACTTTAGAAAACAATGCTATTACTGTCACTGAATGTAAACGGCATTTGAATTTGTCTCCATTAAAATGTTGTCAAAATAAGTATGCTCTCAAAAAGGCATGCTGATTGAGAACAAGCTGTATCTTCTGAAGGAATAAATTCCCTCTGAACACGGCTTAATTACATTCGCCCTCAGTGAAAGGCCTGAGAGAATTTCAAAATACTCTTAATAATCCTGCAGAGGACTCAGGTAAACCAGCCACCTGCAGGACCATCCCTGGGGCTGTGTCTGTGGCACTAGACAAAGTGTCCGACATGTGAGCTCAAGAGCTGGTATACCCTGGACAACACAAAACCTGCAGTCATTGGCAAATGGTTTGTTGTAAACAATGGTGGTTTTTTTTCCAAGGTATTCAATAGTACCACAAGGAGTTAGTCTTGAATGTGTGCCAGCGTGGCAATGTGGATACAGTAAGCAAATATAATCTACCTCACTTAGGGTAAATATTTGGCTACAAATGTATTGAGAGCTCTTTAATTCTCTGTACACTTCTACCATGAGAACCAGAGGAAAGGCTAGGGAGATATAAAGACTGGAGTGTCATTTTTTTTTTTCTTCTCTTATCAGCTGCTCAGATAGGCCAGCTGCCAATCAAATCTAAAATCTCACTGGAGGAAATAAATGAAGGCCCGTAGGTGTAGAAATCTGCTGTTTATGCAGCTGCACCAAGTTCTTGCTAACTCATATAGGCAAAGTCTTCATGCAGATATGCAAAATTCTGTGGCTGTATCTGAGAAGTTGACAATGGAATTTAGGGCATCCTCTTTTTTTTTCTTTTTTTTTTTTCTTCCCTCCTTCCTCTGTTTCTTTTTTCTTTTCCCTCCCTCTTATTTCTTTTTCTCCAGACTAACTTCAGCTTGCTTCTGTGACAGCTTAAAGTGCTGGAAAATTTCTGAGAAGGAGAGAAGGCAGATGTATGATCTATCTGGAGGGCAACGAAACATTTTGAAAGTTTAGTAGTACTCACCTGTCTTGAAGTCAGGACATTCTGCTTGAAGGAACAATACTTGTCTCATTTATCCAGGTCTTGCTTTTGCATCTGTATTTCTGTTGATGCTAAAAGAAGGAAAAATTTATTCTTCCTAACCAGAAACAAGTAGAGGGTTCTGTCTGGAGGATTTCTCCATTGTCTGTTCTGCCAAATGAACGGCACCTTTGCATCATTCACCCGATGAGGGGCTGCAGAACCACAGGGTATAAAATAAGATGTTCAGTATAGGATTGACAGCTGTGTACAATGTCTGTGGTGCTGTATCAAGCACACTGACTCTAATCACAGTGTTTTCAGACAGCTCCTACGTTCTGAGTATGTGGAAGCTATATATACTCATCTGCTTGGCCCTCATTTCTTGTACTGCACATCTATTTTTGATTAATGTCTTGATACTCCCTCCCAGGCAACAACACTGCTTCTGGGACTCAAACAAGAAACAGTTACAGAATATAATACATGCATTTTAATGGCACTAGGAGGTATGGTTCATTATGCAGTACTGTCTATTTGCAGGAAGAATGGTGAATTGTATTCTTTAATAGCCTTGCCTTGGAGGTATGAGCCTACACAGCAAGTCTGACTGCCATCTGTGTCTCTCCTTTACCAGCAGCTCTTAGTGGCAGGGATGTGCTCAGGAAAGGACTGGCCTATGCCCACAGACACGCTGATTCTCACAAGTGGTTCTGCGTGTGTCTTTCCATCCGAACTTCTGTCAAATTCAAGTCTAAATTCCAGAAAGCAACAATAGCACTGACAGTAGTCACTTCAGAATAGGAAGTTTTGCTTTACCTTTGTGAGTACAGACCAGACTTCTGTATCTTGTTTTGAAATGATTTTTAGAAATGCCTTGGCTTCTCTGAGCTATCAGAGTTTCACCCTCCAAGGCAGGCTATGGGGAGGGATGTGTTGCCTCCTTTGCAAATGTGGTACATGACCGCTGTTATATCACATCTGAAGACAGATGGATCTCTGAGGGAACTGCAGCATCCAATCATGTGTTTTGTTTCCTTTGGTATTGATTCATGTGGTTAGTCTGTTTCTGATTTTATTTCTGTGTAGTCCAAGGGCAAGTCTGTTGTGTGCCCCGTGTACCCGAGAAAGAGTGCAGAAGGCAGACTGAAAATAAATAAATCAAAAACAGATAGACTAATTGCACAGACACATGCCAAGGGAGGAGAAGATACATCTCCATGATCAGTTACGCTTGTCTTGTTGGAGGAGAGTCTGATGTTTCAGCATGTGGCGTAATTCTGCCACACTGGAGGAGAGTGGGAACGTCCTCTTCCTTGTCTGGTGGAGCAGAACCTTCTCGTGTGGTTGCCACATGGCACGTCCCAGCCTGGGGAGACCCAGCTCCCTGAGGATGGGGTGGGGAGAAGTGAAACTGGGAAGTGGGAGGCTGTGTTTACCTGGCCAGTGCCTCCCCCAGCAGCCAGCAGGGCTAAGCTGACATGAGGAAGGATGTAATCTACTGTTGGTTGTGTTACGCTCCGAGCACATTACTTCCTTCCATGGAATAAGAGGATAGTCATGGATGTCATTGTGGCTCACAGGCTGCTGGGGCAGCACGGCTCTGTGCCTTGCCTACAATCAAATGACCCGGGTGTGTGAATTAGGAAGGCTTTTGATGTCATTCTCTGAGTGCTGCACTGCGGGAGACAAAGACTTCTTAACGTAACGTCAGGCTCTCTCTTAAACATAACCATGAAACTAACTTTGACTCGCCAGCAGCTGATACAGGCAATGGTCTCCTTGCACCGCTCTGGCACTTAGCATAAGAAAGGTCATTATGTGGGCGGATTAAGCAGAACCTGTCAAAGTTGCATGTGAGTTCTTTGGCTGCATTTCCTTCCCTGGGATAATAATGCTGAGGAGATGGGGAGTGGGTTGACACATTCTCCGGCATGTGTCATGTAACCCAGTGAAGTGGAGGACATGTCAGCCACAAGACTTTTTTGCTTTAGTAAGCTGCAGGCAGAAGTGACATGCCGTTGCGGCTAGCAGCCTTAATCTTATGTGTATTCACACCATCAGCATTTGCAGAATGGTCTCTGCTTCCCGAGGCATTGCTACGGAGCCAAAGGTGTGTCTGGAGAAAAGAGTAAGGGAATGCATCCAGATAGATATTGTTTAACCCTGGGAAACAGCAGTAAGTGAGGCACTTGTATATTCTCTATGGGCAGACCCTGAAGATCTTTACAAGTTGACTGTCATGATCTCATATAATCATCATAGTTATCATCATAGAATTGCTGGAGTTGGAGGAGACCTTTAAAGCTCATCTAATCCAACTTTCCTGCAGTAAACAGGGACATCTACAGCTACATCTCCACAGGAACCACTGAATTTGATACTGGTATACATGGGGAAATATTCCATGGTTTTTTTTTTGTTTTTTTTTTTTTTTTTCAATATACAGAATGCTCCATAGCAGCTCCATTCAGCAGAGTTTACAAAGAATCCATGTGTCTGATTGGAAAAGTCTTTTAGGACAGAAGATCCTAAAACAAGACAGCTGGAGGAGATTTATGACACAATCACTGTTGCTGATTCCCTGATCTGTAAGGGGATGCTGGTAAGAGTACTGGGGAGAATTTCCCAAGGGGCAGCACAGTCACAAGGTAAATCACCCTCAGGGACAAGAGAATCATCAGGGGAACAGGGAAGAGTGGTGTATTCATTCTCACAACAAAGCCTGGTTTTGCACGGCTCCTTGCTTAAAGCCTGTGCCAAGGAGACACAGCTTAGTCCCTGGCTGAGGCAATGTGCTGGGTGGGTTCCTCACAAATCACTGTCAGTGTAGCAGAAGATGGCACAGGCATGTTTACCCAGTGTGTCTGAAATGCCATCTCCTGTCACTGACAGAATGTTGCAGGCTGTGTTCAATTGTCAGGAAAAGACGTGGCAGCTGGGTGTTAGCTGCGTGTCACAAAACATAGCGGTCATGGGTTTGGTCTAACTCATACAGGGGGCAGTACTCAGTTCACTGAAAAGAGATGCTGCGATGTGTTTTCCACTATAATTCACGATTTTGAAGCAAAAAAGAAAAAATATGGGACCATCATTCTCTATGGGTAACTGTGTGTAAAGGACAATTGGTACTCTGTTGCAGTGTCTGTGGTCAGAAATTGCCATCCCAGGTGCCATGCTTGAGTTCCCTGTAAAAGTGAAGACCAGAAGTGGCATAAGCACATATATTAATTGCTCTGTGAGCAGTAGGAGCTGCCAGCATGGATGGGGAAGCTGTACCTTACCCCCATATCGATGGCAATGCTTCTTCCCTTAACTTGCTGGTGTTCAGCCACAACACAAGATTGTAGAATGAGAGTGAGAGATACTACTCAGTAGCTACACCTCCTACAAGCATACACCTGTGGGTGATGCTCTTTTGTCAGACGCAGGTGGTTTGTAAGTCAGTCAGTTGGTGATGAGAGTGTGGGGTCAACGGGAAGGGCTGCTCAGGGATGAACTGACGCACCCATTCTGCAATAGGGGAGCAAGAGCCAAGATGGGAAATGACTGCCATTTAATTCAAGCCTGCCTGCGTTGCTTGTCATTCGGGTGAAGCTGTAGACAACCTGTATCAGCATGATGCCTGACATGGAATTTGCATTGTCCCATGACCCTGCTCAGATCACCAGATAACGTCACACCTCCCATTGCGTAACACCATCGTGTTCTCTAGATCCTGAGCCTGCAATAGTTATTGAGTTGGCTGTTTGTGCACTGGGGAGGGAATTCAAATATTTTTAAGTGCTTCAAATGGTAGATAGGTGCCCTTTGTTGAGAGTAAAGCAACCTGATTCCTCATATGTCCACATATTGAAAGGATGAAATTTGTGCCAGCAGGGATAAAGGAAGAGTTTTTATCTGTGTATGAGTACATTACGTGCAACGGTACACATCAGTGTTTAGGTAGATATCAGTGTTTTGTAATTCCAGGATCCCGTAACTTAAATAACCCTCTGCTGCCATAGTATTTTTCATTAACAGTCAAATAAAAATTGGTCTAAATTCTTTGTGTTCATTTATTGCTTTAGTGCTCTCCCCTCCCCCAAATTATGTGCTTGATTTTTTGCATGGCAGTGTATTTGCTGTTTGATTGCTTGTTTGTTTTTATTTGAAATCTTACTGTATGTACTGTCTAAAGTCTTGCTGAGCTGAGAGCTCAGAAAATGTGTATGTTTATGTACCTTTGTTCGTGCACAAAGGCTGATGGATAGCTAATAAAATGCACATCTCTGCGGTCCTTTCATGCTTATGATCCCCTAGCAGAAGTTGTGAGTATTCAAATAAAATAGAACTGATCCAAAATGTACATATTTAGCTTAGATAATGGCAGCCCCCAGATATGTGCCTCTTTCGGCTGCTGGAAATCTGTCAGCTGAACAAAGAGCAGGATACATTGTGAATCAGGCTGTCCTAAAAGCTTTATGCGATAGATACACTTTATGGAGTTATTTCCATTTTTCCTACATTTCAAAAGCGGACTCAGATCCTAATTATCACGAAGACAAATTCCCCAAATAATTATTTTCAGTCAAGGATTGCAGTGCATGCTGAAAGTCAGGATGTATGTTAAAAGAGCACAGTTTTTCCTTAAGCTCTATATAAAGCTGCATAAAGCTTCTCCTTGTTCCTTCCATCTGCAAAGTTATTCCTGAAAAGTCATTTTGCATATGTCTTTTTGCTATCTTTCAGAGAGGAGAAAATATAAATGAGCTGTAAAGCTCATGTTGTTCTGAACTCTTTCTCTCCTCTTTTACCGATGAGTTCATCAAATAAAATTCCACTAGGAACAAATGTTATTATGGGATTAGCAGAATGAATGCCAGAGTTCAAATACTAAACATTAAAAAAACAAACAAACAAAAAAAAAACCAACAACAACAACAAAAAAAACAGCAGTGGGCTTAATGACGTGAAGGAAGTTGTAGTTTAAACATCAAGGTCAATTATTTCGTTAAATATTGTTTAAAAGTTACTTGTCTTGAAACAAAACCAGAGCTATCCATTTCCCAAAAATGCAAACAGATTATTCTGCCCCTGTTTGTCAGCTTTAGTAGATAACTTCTATTTGATCTTCAAATGGAAACGGTTTCTGTTACAGATTTATACAACAGGCTGCTTCTTAAAAGAAAAAAAAAAAAAGATCTTAAGGCTGGAGCTGCTGTTTGCTTTCCCTTGTAATCTTGTGAGAAGATTTGCATAAGAAAAGCAAGTAGATTCGAGTCTAGGTTTTTCTGTCTACATCTAATGCATGAGTACCAGTCGTTCATTTATTCAGAAGGACAGTGATGGATTTGTAAATCAGGTGAGCAGGAAATCCCACAGTCAGTTCAGCTAGATTCCTCTAAGACTAGCGGAGGCTGCCTATGGAGGCTAACCGGAGTTTAGTTAAGCAATTACAGCAGTCAAACACAGGGAGTCCAAAACCTAAAACCTCCAGTTCTAGGTATTTTTCCTGAGACTGTATACTCAGCTTTAAAACAACATCCAGAACGGGTATTTCCTGAACCTTGCAGAGCAGCCTCTCATGTCTGCATGTAACAGCCTCACAGCTCCTAACAGCCCCATCTCATTTGGGACCTCAGTGAGCGGAGCAGTGCAGGGTGGGCATGCACTGGGTGTCCTAACCAAGTGCATGCCCCCAGCTCCAAGTGTGACACAAGTGTGAACAAACCAGTTTATTCTGAGTAGAATGGGAATATAGAGCCATGCCTACAAGTGTGGTGTGAAGCACAACAGTTTAATGTGTGCAATGTACTTTGATTTTTTATTTTTTTTTTTGGTGTATAGAAAGACAAGCTGTTTTATGGGAAGAGGCTTAGGAAGGATGTTTTGGACCAAGGGGTCAAGTCCCTTGCTGTGGGTGGTAACCACACCTCAGAGGCTGGTACGCAAACCATCTTCCAGCTGCTTGGACAACTTTCTGCCTATGGAAGGCCTTTCTGTGTCCCCCCTGCTCTGGTGGGGTGAAGCTGTTTTTCTGTTTCCATTTTCAGTCCCTTCTTCATCCGTTCTTACCAATTCTTTCTCTTATAATTATTTTATTTGGGAGGAAGGGAGGGAAATTGTCTCATAATTTTAAGATTCATTTGCATTTTCCTCTGAGCCCCAAGCACCTGGTGGAAAGGCACCAGCAATGCTGTAGGCTGGTTCCATGTACCAATAAAAATAAAATAAAATTAAAAAAAAAAAAAAAAAAAAAAAAAAAAAAAAAAAAAAGAGTAAGAAAAGAGCCATTCTTAGAAAGCCTCCAGCGTTCCAGCTCGAGTACAAACAGCTTCTTATTTGGGACTCTCCTCAAGTAAACCAACAGTCCCGGGCGAAGGGGCCACAGCTCTGTAGTCTTGCACAAACCCAGACCCCTCGGGGCGGGTCGGGGGGGGTATGACAGGGAAGGAGGAAAGGGGAGGGGAAGAGTGAACCATCCGCAAACCGCTGCTGGGACCTCGGCCGAAGGGGGCGACGCTGTGCCGGGTTGAAGCAGCACGGCAGACCCCCCATCTCTGCCCGCCCCGCCCGGGGTTCTGCCTGTTTCCCCGGCTTCAGCGGCCGACAGATTCCCGTGCTGAGCCTCGCCTCGGGCTTCTCTTTGCCCAGGGAACGGGCACGGTCGCTTAAGCTGCGCTCCCGTGGGCCGGTGTTGATTTTTTCGTTTGTTCGGTTTTGGCCCCCGCGCTTCGCTCTCGGTCCTTTCTCCCGCACCGGCGGTGCCGCCCGTGTCCTGCCCCGCAGCAGTCTGTGGGCTCGCAACTGGTGCGAGCGTGTATTCGAACCCGCCTCCTCCTTCTCGGAGCGGGGAACAGAGGCAGCGAGTCCGCGTCCCCCGGCGGCCCGCACCCTCGGTTCCCGCAGAGGACTGAGGTGCGTGGGGTGACGCGGGGCTGTGGCAAGGTTGCGGGGTCACCGAGACGTGTGGTCTGGAGCCTGGGTACCATCAGGCTATCGGGAAATACACTGACGAGCCGCCAGCCCGTGGGGACCTCTAAACAACTAAATAATCCTCCTCTTTCACCCTCTGGGACCCTCAGTTCAGTAACGCTGAAGAAAGAACAACAAAATGCCCTCGAAGCTCAGCACTCCCAAAGAAAACAGAAAACATAAAAGAGAGCGAACCACCAGCACACCCCACGAGCTGCCCCCAAAAGGCGAGGACAGGCGAGCCGGCTTTCAGCCAGCGGGAGGTCAGGCTGCCAGGAACCCCCTCGCCCTCCACCATCGTCCGCTCGTTCCTAATTCCTTCGAGTTTAACCAGATTCCCCTACTGACAACGGGGTCTGGTAGGGTTTCACCCCCAGAGCTTAATTATACTGAAACAACAAGAAAGCAGATGCAGGTGAAGCTCCTAACACTTGCGGGGTGCCGGAGCTGCTGGCACCAACGGGACAGCCTTGGGGAGGGCTCCCGAAAAGGAGCGGGGCAGCCCTCGTACGCGGCGGGGAGCGGAGTCCGCCCGCAGCGTTGCGCTCCGCCGGGCTGTGCCACGGAGATCGCATCGAGAGAGCCTTTCCGGGAACGGGCTCCCGACAGCTCTCCGACGGGTGGGGGTGGGGAAATGAAAGAGAAAAGGCCAAAGAAACAGCGCGATTTTGGGAGCGGGACAAAATCCTAACGTGTTACATAAAAGCCACGGGCGGTTCTTATCAGCGAGCCTAGCCTGAAGACGAACAATCCCCAGGAGCGGTTCCAAAACAGCCCCGTTAAAGGAACAATTGTGAAATGCCAACTTCCCACCAGAGCACGAACAGCGGGAGCCGGGCATGTCCCGTCTGTAACCGGGCTTCTGACAAGCGACAGAGAGAGGGGAGGGGATGGGGGGGATCCTCTCTTGACAAGATTTATCAAGAAACATTTAACTGGGCTTTAATCATATTAGCAAGAGCCCAATTAGGGCTGAGAGCGAAGCGAGGCGGCTGGCAGGCTGCGGGGGGAGGAGGAGAAGGGGAGGGAGGAGCGAGCGGTGGAGTCACTCGAGGATAAAGTCCTTTCATCGGGCTGCGCTCTCGGCGAGCAGAGGAGTGCGAATAATCACTGCCCTTCACGGGGGGACGGGGGAGGGAGCGGGCGGGGAATGTGTGTAAAGGATCATTAAGGCCAGGCAGAAGGGTTTTTTGGTGTTGTTGTTGTTTTTAATTATGACGGCAGTTAAGGTGCTGTCCCTGAGTTTTCTCGGGCTCTGTTCTTACGAGCGGAGCGGGGAAGAAGCGAAGGGGCCCGGCGGCACCTGCTGCACCGCCCTGGTGGAGCGGAAAGGACTCTTTCCCGAGGCAAAGAGGGGCTCTGATCTACCCGCCGCTCCCCTCTAACTTCCCCGAAAGGAGAAATCCCCTAAAAATCCTTCCCCGGGCACTTCTCTGTGATGCGTGGCTCCTTGGGGGAAGGCGGGATGGGCACGGCTCTCTCGCCCCGCCGGACCCCCCATCTCGGTGAGCAGGGCCGGGAGTTCTCCGAGGTTCGCAGAAAGCCCAGAGAGAAGCGCGGAGCTGGGGCCACCCGAGACAGGAGCACGGGGTGGAAAGTGCCTTCCCGGGGGGGGGGAAGGGGAGGGGAGGGGGCTCGCATTTTCCCCTTGCCTCCTCCTCATCTTTAGCACGGGCATTCTGTCCTGTCCTTAGGGAGCGGTCCTTTGCAGCTACGGGGATAGGGAGGGCGCAGGACGGAGAAATGAAGCTAGCTCCCATAGGAGAGGTGGGGCCGGAGGGAGAGGCCGGGGAAGGCGATGCCCCCCGGGTCGCGCCGCATGTGGGAGCCTGCCGTGACCCTGCCCGCGGCTTTCGAGACATCGCCGACAGCTGCCAGCAGCTGCCTCGCTGCGCTGCCACCACCCGCGGCCGCCGGGAGCGGGGCGATAAGGGGCAGCGGTACGCCTTTAGCCCGAGAGAAGCAGCCTGTTTGCACAGTGGGGCAGAGGCTGCTGGCTTTTTTTCTTTTCAACAGGGTAGAGATGAGGGAGGCATTGGCACGAGCATCCCCGCTGTCGGGAGATCCCCAGTGCACGGAGGGGGTCTCCTCCTCTCATCTCCCAATCCGTGCCCACCCCTTCCCGCATCCCGAAGCAGCCGCAGTCCCCCCCTTCGGAGCCTGGCGGCCCCTTCCCCGCCGCTCCGTGCCCTCTCGCTGACCGTCTTCCCTCCCCCTTCCTTACTCCATCCACGCTTACCTTTCCGGCCCGGCCGCCGAGGGGCTCGCCCCCCCCCCCCCCGCTCCCGCCCCCCTCCCCGTCGCCTCCAGCCCCGCCGAAGAGGTGCCGCACGCCGCCGCGCCGGCAGGGACCCGGCTCTCGCCTCGCAAAGCGCTCGACTGGCGCTGGCAGCCCCGCCGGGTTCATCCGAGGACAGCGGCGGCTCCGCGCCGCGGCTCGTCTGGCTGCCAACGCCGCAGCAAAGACTGATGCTGCCTCGGCCGGGGGTGACTCACGGCGGCCCGCGGCTGCCGCTGATTAGCGGATCAGAGAGCCGAGTGGGAAGCGGACACGGCGCGGCCGCTCCTTCTCCGGGCACCGCGGGCCGGGCCGGGCCCCCCCGAATCACACATCCTTCCCTTCCCAGCCCCTCTCATCTCCTGCACAATGTATTTTTATTCTTTCGGAATAATCCGACGACTTTGTCGGAGCACAAATTCACCCTTCCAACAGCGAAATGGTCTCCCCCAACCCTTTCCTTGCCGCGTGAGAGCCCCGACGGCACCACGGTGTGCAGCCCGCAGCGCTCCGACGGCGGCCGCCGCAACGTAAGTGCCCGCGTCGTGGCCACCTTCCGAGTGGCTGCGGGGCCGGGAGGGGATGGCAGAGCCCCATGTGCCCCGGGGTCGCCAGGAGATTCAGAGGGGCTGAGTTGGGTGGGCCCAAGGCTGAGTGAAAGCTGCCTCTTGGTTCTTGGCTGTGTCCTCCACTGGTGTCATGTTGTCTTTCAGGGAAAGCCCAAATCTCATCGTGGTTCTGAGGCCTGGTGGGCAGGCTGGGGGCTGATCTTCTGCTTTGTCCCCACCTCAGCCTCCCTGTCCCAATGTGGTGTGGCAGGCCCAAGCTGGTTCCTCAGTATCCATTTGGGCAAACACGTGGCTCAGCAGATGGGAAGAGAGATGTGAGCACCTGGGGAGAGATGTGGAATCAGCATCAGGAAAGAAGGTGAGCATCAGTGCGGAGCATGTAGATGGCTGTGCTCAGCATGCAGGCTGCCGTGTTGCAGCTGCGTGTGGTTTCCATGGAGTCCCCAGGGCATGTCCCAGCTAGAACACACTGCAGAAGTTTTTCATGGTGAGCGTGTTTTCCTGTTTCGCAGGTGCAGCCTGACTGGTTGCATTTCACACCCTTTGCATCGAGCAGTTCACCACTGTCAGTGCCTCTGAGAAACATGCTGCCTGCGTGACATCTGTGTTCTGAAGTGTGTTTATGAACGGAAACTGTGGCAGAATGCATCTTTCTGTGCACTCTGTAGGCACAGCTCTAAAAGCAGCGGCTCCCTGAAATGAAGAGATTATTAAAAACACATTTGTTAAGAAACTCAAGCCATTGAAGGTACTGGGATTGAGTGCTGTATTCTCTGGATGCACATTTGTTCTGGATGCAGAAAGAACGTATGATTGGGCCTGTATTAAAAAATACTCCAACTTGTCAGAAATGTGCTAAAATGACAAGCCACGGGCTGGTGGTTGGGGATCATCTTGTCAGTGATTTAACCTTAAGTTCATTTTTAAGTCCAAATTTCATTCCTTTGAGGAAAAAGAGTGGGAGCAGGAAGAGGCTATTATAATAGAAATGCTGACAGTGCTAACTGTGGCTGTGTGAATTCACTACTATAATAAGACCTCAGCTGGCAGCCTAATTCCAAAGAGGTGATGTTATCCAGTAATAATGCGATCAGTTTGTTGGCTGTAACATAGGAAGGTGGGAACTGGTTTATTTTAATGCTATTTTTGGCCAAAATGTAAAAATCTTTAAGATGCCAAGATCAAAGCAGGAGAGCTACCTTTCTGTTTAAAATAATAAAACCTCTGGAACATTTTTCACTTCAGTGCAGTTTTTAGAAAGGCATATTTTAAAAGGGACAGCTAGGGAGAATGCAAGCTTTCAAGCTAAGGATTGGAGGATGGAAAAGCCCAAGGGTGGAACATTGTTAGAAGTTTTCAGAGAGATCCTGAAAGCACAATGGTCACTTTACAAAATAGAAGTTTTCTCCTGGGTAATTGCTGAATGAGTTTGTGTTGATTTTCAGCTATGAATTTCAAGGAAAAAGAGGGGAAAAAAAAAGAATTGAAAAAGACAAGTGCCCTGTTAGTAATTTAGAATTATGCTGCAAGCATTAAAAAAAATTGCATCAGATATTAGAAAAAAATTTTGGAAATAACCATGTAAACTTCTGAGCTTATACAGTATTTTCCAGCCATTGCATCTTTCTTTTTGTAATTGCTTTTAAGGAACAAACATTCTGACTTTATAGATAGCTTGCTCTCAAATTAGGAAAACTAGCACAAGTAAGACTGATTTGTGAGGCACATATTTCAGTGATACTGTGTTGGTGAAATCTTCTGCAGCAGATTTGTCAGTGATAATAGCGTGGTCAGGATTTTACCCAATCTGAGTGTAGTGCTGTTGCAGTAAATTACAAGGATAGAGACAGAATGTATTATCCATCCAATTCAGGTTTCGATTTTCCTGTTGTCCTCGATAGAGTTCCTTACATTTAGCCTGAATCAAGATTTACTGAGGTCAATGGGAATATCTCTGTTGGGGTCATGAACTCTTTGAAGGATCAAATCTTTGGTTTCTTCATGCTGCTCGGAAGCCCAACGGTATCAAGTCCAAGATAATATCTCAAGCATGTGAAGATAGTTAAAACAAAGTAAGTAACGACTGTAGCCAAATCGTAACTCATTTTAGCAGAGCACTTTGTGAGTAACAGAACCCTACAAGAATACTTGGGTGTGTCTGAGTCAACCAGTTCTGGAAATCCTATGATGTGCAGCTGCAGAAACTACACAGATTCTTGAAAAATTGTCAACAAAACCTGAAACGACCCTAAGGGTTTTTAATACAAATTTGTCAAAATTTCTTGAAAGTAATGTTTCCTGAGTTATATACAAGCTCTGTCCAGCTTACTAATAAATCACATTGCCCAGTAACTCATGATAAGTAGGCTAAAAGTGCTACAGTGACTACCTTGTTTGCCTGATCTTCTTAAGGCAACATTAACCTTCTTTTTAGACTTGACATTTAACAAAACATTATAAATATTATAACCACTTGTGAATATGCATACTCTGGACTGTAGGAAATCAGGTTGGCATTTATTGTCAGGCTTCCATCCAAAAACATACGAGATAATTTGCATTATATGGCTATTGGCACTACAGAGTGACAAGTTGGAAGAGGTATTTTGAGAGCAGTTCCAGAGTTGCCTTAAACACTTGTTCGAAGTGAGAAAACAGATGTGATATAATGATAGTTGTTTTGCTTTTATTGTGAAAGAGAATACAAGCTTGTGATTACTGATTGGATATGAAATAAAACTTTATGGCTGTATGAACCGGACATAGCATGTCAGCAATCAAACAGGATGCCAGGGAAGCATTGCATATTAGCTCTGTAAAAAGAATCAAAGTACAGTTAATCACAGTTTCTGACAATACAAAAATGAGAGGGTACTGATTAAAATGATCAAATTTAGAATTAAATCCACAACAAAGAGTCAGTGGCAGAACTTCATTTCCGTAGGATATTGTGGATACAAGAAGTAGAAAAGATTCATTAAAGGATCAGAAAAATGCATTCAGGGATATTCATGTATGGAGACAGAGTGTGGTCGTCTGAATTCTGGCTGCCATAGAGGAAATCTGCAAACATCTAGTTGTTGGAAATATTAAGACATTATCAGGTTAGGGCTTGCTCCAAACAGTGTATTTTTACTTTTTTTTTTTTTTTTTTTTTTTCATAAGTATTAACTTTTGGTGACCACAGAGAGATTACATTAGCACAGTATGGACATTTTGGCTTCCTTGGTGCGTGCCTATAAAGTGAACTCGTATGTCATTTTTTGACAATATGCTGACATCTTTTTCTACTTTTTTCTTCACTCATTTATTCTTCTCTGCCTTTTGGATGGAAAATCCCTCCTGCATGGGCCAGGTTATACTGGATATCTCATACAGAAAAGTATCCTATTTCATACATAACTTACTCATGTTGCTGAAGCATGGTGAGTAATGAGTGCTGGAATTTAGCTTAATGTTACATTTTGCGTCTTGGATTTCTGTATCAGTTCATGAAGTACTCAGCCTACTGCAAGTAATTCTTTGCTTTTTTTTTTTTTTCTACCTCCTATTTCTGCTCTTCTTCAGTTTTGTGATCCTGGAGAACATTACATCTTTGCAAAATGTTACATAATTATATCAAAATGTTCCAAGCGCTGTACAAACACATAGAATGTCCTCGTGATGCAAAGGAGAGACCAAGGTTTGATTAGGCATGATGCCATATGGTTCTGGGCCCATGAGTCAGCAAAGGTCTTGGGTGTGCGTCATCTGCGTAGAGAAGCAGTGCTGGACTATTCACATTGCAAATGTAAAGCTTTAGATGATACCTGGCAGTATTAGCCTTAGGCCCACAAGGATTAAAACTGCTTTCCATGTGCCAGTGATGCTTTTGAGTGCAAGTCACAGGACCCCAAGTGCAAGGGCAAACTTGTAGTTGAAAAGAAGCTCTCCAATGCACTCAGATGCTGATGTAGCATGCAAAGTGAGACATAGTCCTGGTCTTGATTTAGCTGTTGGGGGTACAAGCAGGCCAGACAAAGGGCATCTCAGAAAGAGGTGGAAAAACAAAGTCCAAAATCACTTATTATCCCGTCTGGAAACAGGGGGAAGGGTGTGTCTATCACTGTTTTTCCCCTCACATTTCAGCTAGGTTTGTACTGTAACTTACACAGTTCCATGTCAGATTTCGGGCTGTGTGTTTTCTTACAATCTTTCAGGGCTCCGTGGGCTTGGGGAGAGCTAGTGTACAAAGGTGTGTTTTTCCAGGGGTCTTTATTCCGTGCAAAGAGATGGTACCAGCAGTTGCTGTTAGTTCTTACCCTTACAGGTAAAGACGGGGGGTTGCTGTGCAAGCAAGTCTTTTCTGCTCTGTTCCAGTTAAAAGTCAGTCTATCTAGATGAAACTGGGGAAAAAAATATTGTTACAGTTTACGTTTATTCTCAGGAAATGAGAAGGAGACGAGGAGGTAGGCAAGCATCCAGATCTGTACACAGGAATGACCAGTCTATTGCGTCAAGCCCTGACTTCAGACCTAGTGGGCACATGCAGTATAAATGTGCTGAGTCCAATCTTGCTGATCAGATCGCAGTCAGTTGTGATAAAGTGTCTGATGCTTTCCAGGATTAATTGGCCATTTAGTTTGTGTTTCTAACCAGTCAATAAAGCTCAAACAATTATCTTCTAGAAATTTGTATTAAAATTGCCTTATTCCTACGTGTCTATATTTGGATGAATTGTAGGACCTTGGGGATATATGTAGAGTTCAGTTAAATTTTGACACAGCAGCAACTACATTTTCCTAATCTGTAAACAAGCTTTTATGCAAGATTCCTGGCACTAAAAGTCTGTTTGAAATTGAGTTGTGGAAGTGCAAGAGTTCATAACCCTTCTCTTGCAGCAGCTCAGTCAGTGCAAGCTGAATATTGAGCACCTGACTAAAGGTGGCAAGGTCTTCCTTAGCTACTTGGGCAGAGCCCTAGAAGACAGGAGCATTGCTGCCATCTACATGGCAAAGGACATGGGTAGTGTAGACAACTATTTCCTTTTACCTTTGTCAGGAAAAATTAATGATACATTTACAAAATATAGAATGGGGTGGGAAGGAAAGGAAGGTAAGAGGAGAGGAAGAGAAGAGAAGGAGTCAGGTGACCTGGGAGGACTACAAAGATGCCATTCATTATTGCAGGGAGAAAATGCATGCAATCAAAGCTCAATTAGAGTTGAAGCTGACAATAAAAGTATGTTAACTGCAAAAGGATCAGAGATAACATTGGTCTGATAGTTATTGAGGATGGTCACCTCACAAATGTAGATGTAGATAAAGCAGAGATTTTTAATGGCTGATGAGCAGCCCTGTGGGAAGGAATCTGGAGACCTGGTAGCTTGGTGGCTAATTGTATACGAGTCAGCAGTGTGCCCTGGCAGGCGAAGGGCCAACTGTACCCTGGGGCACAGCATGGTGTGCAGCTTTAGGCACCACAGTATAAGAAAGACATAAAACTATTGGAGAGCGTCCAAAGGAGGGCTATGAAGACGGGGAAGGATCTGAAGGGCAAGGTGAGCATGTGAAGCAGCTGAAGTCCCTAGGTTCAACCCAGAGCAGGGAGCTGAGGGGAAGACTCATGGCGGCTGCAGCTCCTCACAGGGAGTGGAGGTGCTGCACTGAGCTCTGCTCTGTGTGACAGCCAAAGCGCCCGAGGGAACAGCATGGAGCTGCGTCAGAGAAGGAGTAGCTGGGGTTCAGGGACCGGCTCTGCATCAGAGGGCTGTGAGCATGGAACAGCCTGCCCAGGGCTGTGCATATGGCCCCGAGCTGCTGGAGTTCAAGGACAATGCTCTCAGACATGGTTTGAATTTTGGGTGGTCCTGTGTGGAGCTGAGAGTTGGACTCGGTGAACCTTGTGGGTCTCTTCCAACTTGCGATATTCTGTGAGTCTATGAATAGCACAGAATAGAATGGAACTAAATAGTTCAGTTGGAAGGGGCCTACCAAAATTTAGTCCAACTGCAATGTGCTTTGTTATCCAAACACTTTCTCAGGCTGAGCTTCAAAGTCTTCAACCCGAGAATGGATTCAGCAGCAGGTATTAATGCTCTGCAGCTCACTAAGTTCATCTTTTGACAGGAATGGAAGAGTTTTCCATTGCAAGTCTTTACATCTTTGTTTATTTAGTAAGCATGGACCGCTGTTTTTGGCTTAATATATTAACAGTTATTTAGAGAATAATCTGGTGAGTACATTAGTTTATGTGTAGATTGTAAAATATATCTGGTCATTCACTTTATGTTAAGATTTACTTATGTGCTTTTGCTAAGTAACAAACAGCTCATACAGTTTGCTACACATATGAAGACCATGTGGTGTAAGGGGTTATAAATACACCAGTTAAAAACATTCCAGACGACTATAAATCACTATAATATGCAACCCTTGTGGTTTGATGAATAATATATTTACTAACTTACCACTTATCAGAGTGATTTGTGTCGTACTTAATTTTATATTCAGTATAAGTTTTCTATAAGGCCTAAATTTGTTTTCTTTTGCCAGAAGAATTTATTTCTGAGTCAAAACTCAGTCTCTTTTGCAAAACAGGAAAATCAAAGAAGCATAATAATCAGTGTAAACTCATCTGAAGTGCTTTAAAAATAGCCAGCCCACCTACTGCTCTGTGAGATTAGATAGTGCAGCATACAGAAGCATAGTGCAGGGTAGCTAAGGAACCATGCAGTATGCAAGCTTTGAATCCCACTCGAAGCAGTGGCTCTCAGCAACACATTTGCTCCTGCCAGACCTTCTGCCTCTCACATTCCCACTCCCTTACTGCTGGGTAAGCAGAACATTTAATTCTGTCCATGGGAAATGGCACCGCACAGATTTTTGTCTCCAAAATGACAGCTTATAGTGGAAAGACTGGTAGCAGGAGGAGGTTGAAAAGAGTGAGATGGTGTTATTCAGATGCTGGTGTGGTGGCGGTGGTGTCACTTGGGTTGTCACAATGATGGCCTATGTAAACTGAAGTAAAATTCTAACAGCTAGGTCTGCAAAAGGCTGTAGACATCCCACTGCCCTGTGTGGGCCTTGCTAGGCTCCACAAAGCCATGCCTAGCTGTCATCTAACTCTGTAATGATCTCTGCTCTGCCAGGGAGCATGTCACAATTGCCTGATGGCTCTGGAAGGGGTCTCAGGCAAAACCTTTACTTGTTAGTCTTCTCAGCAGTGCTATACAAAAGGATAGCAACAGATACTATTTCTTGATGGATCCTGTGGTTTTTGTGGTGATCTGTAAGCACATAATGCATATACACTAATTAAATCAAATTTATCTACTTCATTGGAAGTATTTTGATTTTTTTTTTCCTGTTCTTCCCTCTGTCAAGCTTTCTCTGAGAGCTTGTTATAAAACTCTGCTCATCTGTTTTTCTAGTTGTCTGTTATCAGTATTTTACCTTCAATTGATTCACGTGGCTGGCCGGCTTACCTAATTTCCCAATAAACAGTCTATTGGTGAAAGAGTTTTTGGCATGCAAACAGCATACATTGCAAAAGATACTCTAGGAGGAAGAGTGGTATGTATGTGCTTTACAGCACTGCTGCTTAGATCATGTGGTCACATAGCTGTATCTGTGGGGAATTTTGCACCAAAATAAACTTTGAAGTTGAGTCAAGCAAAGGGGATTTTCCCATCACAGATCAAACAGAATGTACTGTGCAGCAAAATGAGGAAATCTAGTCTCATGATTTTCAGCATCACTGATTTTGAAAGGGTTAACAACCTGCCAGTAACTGCATCTTATTAATGTAATGCATGTTGGCATTTCTTTTGCATATTCCTATTACGGAGTTTGATGAAACAGCTTTTGTTTGTTCACACTTGTGTCTCTTAAGATTTGTATATCATTAGAAAATCTTATTTTTTTCTGCAACAGCTTGCACTTTCTTCTGTATGCAGGTAGAAGTCAACTCATTCTATTAGTTTGGATTATCATTTTAAGCTTGATTTAAATGGTGTATAGACTTTTAATGCTCCCGACAACTAAAATTGTAACCTGTTTACATGTTGAGATCTGTTAATTATCTGTCTGCAGAAGTTCAGCGTCCAGGAATGAAGGAGGAAGATGATTGAACCTACATGATATGAGGCTCTTAACACATTTTTGAATGCACTTTGAGGAGGTAGGAAAAAAGAATTGATAGTGTGAGTCCAAGTTAACATGTGGAATGACCTTTACTTTATCCAAATGGAAAAAAAATTTCTACTTTTTTTACCTTTTTTCAGAGGTATATGGTGCCCTTTGATAGTAAATATATTCATAGGATGTAGGTTTTTAGTCTTTGTATTATTTTAGGTATCTTACTTAGGTGATACTGGATTTCCCTAGATGTTTAGCAACATTTCAAAAAACCTCAGGCTGTGAGAGAGGAACTTGCTGTAGCCCGTTTGTGTTCTGGTCTGCCAAATCTATAAATATGGATAAGTGTGTATCAGTGACTGGGGGGGGTTTAAAAAAAAATAAAAAAATTAAGAGGTGAGATTTTAAGCAATTTATATGTTAGACTATAATGTAGAAAAGAATGTGTGTTTATACAGTAACCTTCCTTAAATCAATGCATTAAGCATTTTGTTAATATTATACCTGAAGTTGTCAATGGTTTATTTTTGAAATAGTAATAAAATACAACAAAAAATTCTAAATCTGGAGAAAATCCAGTAAATGAAGCAGTGGTGGTACAGGGAAATAGTCCTCTCCTCTCCTCTCCTCTCCTCTCCTCTCCTCTCCTCTCCTCTCCTCTCCTCTCCTCTCCTCTCCTCTCCTCTCCTCTCCTCTCCTCTCTTCTCCTTTTTCTGTTAGCATTTGTTTCCTGTTCATCAAATTATATTTAGGAGTGACCTGATATATTTTTTCCAGCTTATATTATGAGGGTGGCAGAGAGAAATCCTTGCAGGGAGTATACTATGTAGTTATTGCAGTTTATATTCCTGCTTTTAAGATATATTTACTCCTTTGTGATTTTTCTTGTGTTTTTGTTTAGTTCCTTGAAAGGGTGTTGTTCTTCCATGGAATGTGGTTTTTTTTTGTTTTTCTCCAAGCTGTAAATACATATACAGGTAATACTATGTAAACCTTTGAGTCAGCTGCTTCCACTTCTCATGTGTTCTAGACAATTTCAGAAAATTATTACTAAGACTTATAAGCTCAGAAATAAAATCTCCTTGACTGTTTTTTGAAATGGAAATGAAAAGTTTTAACATATGTAATAAATATATATGTAAAAATCCCAGAGGTAACAGACAAGTAGAAATTTTACAGGGTTGTTATAGACACAATGACATCTGTTTTTTATTGCAATTAATGAGTCCTAATATGGTGTGCCATTTTGTGTTATGTAACCATTTATTATTAATCTCCATCTCCTGTTACAAATCAATTCTCAATGCTTTTTTTTTTTTCTTCTCATCACTCTTGAGATACTACGTAGCTATATATTTATGCCTATTGCAATCACACTAAAGATATTCTGCTGTATTAGGAATTTTTAAGTACTTGGAGATAGATTCTGCATTCTTCATGAAGTAACTCTTGTCCTAATCATTACCAGGAATTGAACCTGGAACTACCAGAGCTAGAGGATAGCTTGAGAATTTGAGCTCAAAAAGGCTAAATCTTCTGGCTAGCAGTTGCAGGAGAGTCATGCTTTTTGTGGCTCTGGCAGAAGATGCAACTTGGAGAGGGAATCATGCTTGTGCAACTCCAAACTGCCAGAGAAATCCAGGGGAATTTGAGGGTTTGCAGGGAATGTAAAATTGGTCTCTTCCAGGAGCTTCCCAGTAAGCATGAAAGGGTTTTGTGTGTGTGTGTGTGTACATGTGTGTGATGGATAGTGAGAAATTCTAACATTTGACATTGCTAAGTGCATTCTGCAGCTTTTCATTAGTGATGGTGGAGTCCTTCAGCGAATCCCTTCAGGAGTAACCATTTGGCAGTTCTTAAACCCTTGTCTGTATATCATGTAAAGCTCAGAGTTACCACTCTAAAGGAAGACCTTGAAAAGTTAAATGCCATTGGAATTTAGTAATGTAGGCCACACTGTAAACTGTGGTTAAGTTGAGCTGAGGCCTGCTTCAGAGAAGAACCTGTATTTGATTAAACCCTGCCTCTAGCTAGATAAAAATGAGTTTGAAGTAGATTAATATAAAAACAGTTAAAAGCTTCCTCGTTGTTGTCAGTTTCCAAAATGAAACTTGTCAAGAGTTTGGCAGAAAGAGTTCAAAGGCAGATCTTATTCTGAGCTGAGAAAAACAAATCCAAGAAGCAAATAGCAATATGGATGGATCTTCTCATGTTTGGCTTAAATGAATTTTCTCAGTGTATGCTGTGGCTTTATGGCCTTCATTTCTACTTGCCAAGCCATTTTTTCTCCAGACTACAGCCCTTCAAGAGTTGTGTCTCATAATTTTGTCTAGCACAGAAATATCTTCTGTACTGCTTGGCCTATCTTCTCATGACCTTCATGAATCTTCTCTGACATTTACTGTGCATAATTATTATAACATAAACCAAGGGCAAAACTCGAAAGATAGTTTTGGACTCAGTGAGAAACTGTCTGAGAGAGAATTGAAGTGGAGACAGCACAGTGGGGTTTTTGTCAGAATTTTTGCTGGAATCTACTTCCATCTGTAACATTGGGTGGCACGTGACCACTGTGCAGCACACACTTTGGCACGTTGTAGACACTTGCACATCTTGGTGACAAGATTGTGCAACATTTTTTGCTATTGATTTGAACATAAATTCTGTGGTCCCAATGATGAGTAAAAAATGGGACTCGTAGATCAAGTCCTACAAATACTACCAAGTGATTATCAAAACCAATGTCATACTGGAAAGTTTGGGCTTTGACACCCTTAATACTTTTTCCCATATCCTTTTGTATATACAACTAGGTCACGTTAGTGACCACAGGCATGAGTCTCCATTCCATTACACTGGTTTTATGCCAGAGTAACCACATTGGTTTTCACTGTATAAAAAGACTGATGAGATGTGGTGAAAAATTGATCCCATACATATTCCAATCTCTGAGTGACTTAATATTTGTTGCTAAAACATTTTAAACCTTTAAAAACAACATTTCCACCAGTCACATTACAGATTTAGAGTTTGCTGTCTCATGGCTTGCCAGAACTAGCAGCAAATGCTGGGAAACAAGCATTTCTTTAATCATGGCAAATCATGGGGTCTTTAATTCTCAAATTTGACGGTCATCTAGGAAGGACAGCTAGTGCTTTGTATATTGACCTCATTGTTGAGGTCTTTTTCTTCCGATCTCTATTTTAGGCTAAAATAGTCATTTTTGTAGATGTAGGGTATTTATTCCTTCTAGATGGCAGCAGTTTGAAATCAGTGGCAGACTTGAAATATTATAGATTAAGAGATAAATTAATGGAGAGTTTGAGAAAGGAAATGAGGCAGAAGTTAGATATTTCATGGGTCTGTAGGCTGTTTCATGACTACAGAACACTAAAGTTTGTTGTTGTTTTTTATGTGGAGCAAATATTTTTTTCATAAGTACATGTATACAAACATACATAGTTCCTCTAATTTGCTAATTATTAACTTACTGCTCTTCTTGAACTGTAAAGGAAGACGTGTGGTTTCTTTAAATTTCTTAGGATATCAGGCTAGTTACTACTTCTGTTAAAATTAGTTGCAAAGCTCCGGTTGACAGCAATAGGAGAAATCTCCTTATTTTTGATGGTCGTAAGTTATTACACCTGACAAGCGGGACAGACTGCAGTATCAAAGGACAGCTTGCTTGCTGAGGAGGCAAGCATATGCAAAAGGAATATAAGGTCTGTTGTACTCAAGGCTTTGTTGCCACAGATTTCCTGTATAACTCAAAACTGGTTAATATGGTTCACTTTTCAATCTGCAAACTGAGAAGAGCACTATGTCCTTAGATTGAAAAGCAGTGATAAACTCAGATAATACAGATAATCTGTAGCACGTTTAGTGGCTGGGAGGGATTTCCCATATGACTCAGGCATAAGCTTAGTCTGAAACAGCTGGGTAAATAGTCCTAGTGTTTCATTTATTATTAGTTAATTAGTTCAGTTAATTAGTAACTGGCAAAGTAGCAGCTGTTGCTCCTGCTTGTTGTATAAGAGAATTGTGACCCTTGGCCTTGTGTTGTGCTCCTAAAGGTGTAGTGTTAGACAGCAAACAGATGATGGAAGAAGTCAATTATTGCCCATTTTTTTTTTAGATATATACTTAAACTAATGCATATTGATAAGGTACGCAGTTGAAATGTGATAACTTTCAGGCTGAGGCACATGGAAGGCAAGGAACCTTCATTTCATTTGTAACAAAAATGAGCTAGTTAATGGCAGAGGATGCTAGTTTGGCTGACTTATAATATATTTTTCCTTGGTAATTCGATCCAAGCTCATGTAAAGGTTTAGGTAAGAAATTGTGATTGTTTTTTCTGGTGTCAGCATCCTGATTACATGAAAACAAGTCTGATAATATAAAAGTCTCAAGATTTACATTGGTTAACAGTATTAATCTCTCCTTTTCTCCCTTCCAACGTCTACTCATTTAATATGGCTGAAGAAAATAATTGGTTCATCTGTTATAGGCTTCTATCCCAAACTGATCTGGGGGAGAAAAAAGAAAATTTCCTGCCAACTAGAAATTCTGAGAAAATTTCACTCTGGAAAATACTATACAAAAAACTTTGTATTTCTGTTCCCTGGTTCCTGCAGCTTCTCAATGAAAATGGCATTTGACAGGTAACTGACTATTAGCTTTGTATTCATTTATTGGTATAATTGGGATGTTCTTTTTTTTTTTTTTTTTTTTTTTTTTTTTTTTGGTAGCATTGCTCTTAGGACTGCCTGGAAGTCTATTACAGGGCTTCCAAGCTCTTGGTTGGTATTTGCTAGTAGGTGACTGAAAAGTCTGGAACTGATGAAAATTATTGGGATTTCCATGCTCTCGTAGTGGGTAGTCATAGATTTTTAAGGCTGACGTTTCCAGGACTTGGAACTTAGTGACTGAAGCCATGGAAGCTTGGTGTTTTCCCTCTTTGAGATACTCAGCAGGGCACACCTGTCTCCTGATTCCACTCCAAACTTATTTTTATTTCATGGGAGCTATAATCCACCTCCT